AATCTTGCCCCTGAAAGATGGTAGATACTGTAGACCTTAAAGAGCTTGAAGATCAGTTAAAAGGGCAGTAAACTTCAGATAAGAAAACAACAAGATTAAAAAGGTGGTTCAGTTAGTCTTTGCTTAACCCTTCTGCAGGAGAAAAAGAGAGAGAGAGAGGAGGGGAAAACTATTTCTCAAGGAAAACAGCAGAAGAGATGGATTTACAGATTGATTGAATAACCTTTGTGGAAACTTCCCTTCCTTTGAACTGAAATGTAGGTTTGTGCTGGAAACAAACAACGTAAACTTTCTCGTCTTCCTATTTCTGACCCTTCATCCTTCTCATCCTCGATTCCCTTCTTCAAACTCAACAAATCTTTCATCTACATTGAATATCTCTGTTGAGTCAAAGTCAGAGGCCCCGAGACAATGAGCGATTACTCCCCTCCCTACCCCGCTCGCTCTTAACAGTCCACGAAATAGTTCCAGCGGCTGAGAGTGGGCGGAGGGGAGGACATTACAGAAGGAGTGCGGCGGGTACATGGAAAACCCTAAGCCCCTGTAGTCCCAGTGCACTGTGGCTGTGACAGCCAGCTTTGCTCTGCTCTGCTCCACCTCACCTGTTATCTGTCCATCACTTCATTGTGTTGTACCGAGCTGTGCAGAGGGGCTCTCGGTTCACACAGCCGCCGCGGCGTACGGACAATCAGATGTTTAAGATCGCATTTTAAGTGCATCTAAATCATCAAAGAGAGCCAAGTTCAGCCACTGGAAGCTACAATCAGACAACTGCAAACTTCAGCACATCACTGGAGGATAAGAGAACCTGTCGATGCATTTTCAGCTCATTAATGGAACTCTGTGTTTTAATCATTCAGGTTTGCTGAAATTCACATGCTGCAAAAAAAAAAACTCTCTTCCTCACTCACTACCTCTCTCTCTCACGCACACACACACACATTTAACTTCCCCTGCTCCAGCTGTGTCTTAAGAAGTCAGCGCCAGACCGGTAATCTGACTGGGATAGAAGTTACTGGATCTGTATCCATTACAGGATGTAATACCCCTCAGTCCCAAACTCTCCACACTTCCCCTTACTGCACCTTTTAGAGGTCATTTCAAGATGACTGTGTTTTTCTCAAACCTTAGACTCAAATATTGTATAATAGGAAGTCTGTGTCATTGCTTTGTCATAAAACCCTGATGTCCTCGACTTCAGCCACCCTATTAGCCTCCTGGATCCCACCTTGTTAACCCTCACCCTGCCCGGAGAGTTTGGAGCTCCAGCAATGTGGAAAACATATTATTTCTAATATCACGCAGAGCAAATAAAAACCGAAGGTGTGAGTTTACATCAGGACAACAACGGCGTGTTTTCAGCTACAGGCAGCAACACCTTACCTCTCTGTTTCAACATTAACGGCCAGCACATCAGTACTCTTAATGAGGTATCAGTTTCCATCAAGCGAACTGGACGCATCCTGCCAGAGAGCATTAAAGCTCCGAGAGCGAGGAACAGAAAGCACGACTTGCTGTTTTGTACGGCGAGTCGGCTCTCGTGTGTTCTGTTTTTTAAAAGCAGCTTTTTGTTCGGAAACGTTTCAGTCAGCTTTTCACAAGGATGACAGCTTTGTCAGTGGCTTCCTGAGAGTTGAGTACCTCTAGAAATTCTCACCGTTTGTGTCGCTGAATAGACTAAACTGAAACTTCTGACACGATGAGAGACATCTATTTCATTGTTGGTGGCAATATATGCAAATAATAGAGCATGCAGACTCTTTCGTCTTGTCTCTCACCTGTTCAGACTGGTGATTTTCTCCAAAAAAAACTAACGTCAGACACCATTCGACATTACGAGTCTACATTAGGTGTCTTTTACGCCGCGGGAACGCTGTTTGCTGTAAAGCTTTTCTAGTGTGAAGAGCGTGTCAACTCAAAAATCAAAAAATCAAGCAGGTTTTTAGTGACGCAGATGCTGCATACAGATTCTTCCACTCACTTTATGAAAACTATCAAACACAAGGTGAAGACTTGAATTCTCAACAGTCTGAGAAGTCGATTGGATTCTTTAAAAAAAAAAAACAGGTAAGGTGTTTTAATTATGTTAAAACAAAACCTAAAATTCTGCTGTGAGCAACAGTCTCATTAGCGAACAGTGACAAAAGCAAAGCAACTGGCAGAGCTTTGACTGTGAAAACTGATACAGCGGTGCTTATTTCCACCAAGGACAATGAAATGTAAGCTATCACGCTTGCTCTTCACTTCCCAGAACTCACATTGAAGGCTGCAGTCTGGGGGAGGTGGAAGGTCACAGAAAACCTGTGTGTGTGTGTGTGTGTGATTTATAAAGTGTGCGTAAGTCTGTGAATTCCCTTTGCTCTTCTTTCACTTTGTACTATAATGAATACAGTCTCCTTTATTCGTGTGCTACGGAGACAATGGCCTGAAAATGCTTTAGGGCAAACTGTGACCTTCCTGCAGACAACGCAGTAGCTGTCGACCACCTGTCTAAAAACCTGAAATGACTCCAGTTCACCTGTGGCTACACAAGAAACACCAGCTGACCGAGTCTAGACTTCCATTCAGTCCACCAAGTTGTTTTGGAGGCAAGAGACAGTGAAGAGAAACAGGGAGGACACTGGGAAGAAAAGGCAGATTAAAAAAAAAACTATCTGCTTCATCTGTCTTTCATACAATTTTTTTTTTTTCAGTAAACAAATATTTGCCTGTTGAGTCACAGCTGAATCTGTTGCGAGAACAATCATTCATGTGTGTGCCAACCAACAAATGAGCCTGTTGCTGGTCAAATCAATCATCTGTGTGTCAAACCATGAATGAAGCTGCTGCTCACAGGCCTCAGGTGAAACGATATTTGAATGCACTTTTGATAATGGATAGACCTGCTTGTGTAGAACGATTCAACTTTAAACATCTTGGGTGTGACATAAGTCTGTTTGTTGTTTCCGATCAATCCGGGCATTTTCCTGACGCTAAGCCAGACATTAGGGAAACTGAAGCATTCAAGTAGAAAAAAACACAATTCAATGCATGCAAATTGTTCTTAAAATTTACATGCGAGGGATTTGAGGGATTCTCTCATCCAGGGAAATGCAAAACATTCCCATAAAAATAAACTGTCATTTGTATCTTTTAGTCTAGGTAATAAAAGTTAGCGCTGTGCTGGTGCAAATTTAGGTAAACAGGTTTGAAACCAAATAAAACTGTTTTCTCAGCATTCTGCGCTGATCCAGCAGATGTCAAGGACGGGGAATCTGTTTTATTAACTCACAGATTGTGAACCAATGTCAAACCAGTTTTAGCAGTGAAACAACATCACAACACCTGATGTCAACCCCAAACCACTGCACATAGATTTAAGTAATATTAAGCAACACAAATGAGGAATTTAGACATGGATAGTAGAGAATAAATATACTTTTCCTGGTGTAGTATGAGCTCATTATTAATTAAATGGCAGCATGAATGACTTGCTTAGAGTACAACACAAATAAGAAATGTTGGTAGGGGGCCAACTTTGTGTCAGATTGAGCATACAGTACATCTTCTTCACTGGCAGCTGTTCTGTGGCTTCTTGGGCAGCGCAGTCGGTGTTACCGAGAATCTAAAACATTCAGACACTTTGCAAGTTCGTGTCCTTGTGTGCTTAGTGCAAAGGCTCGCACTTTCACAGCATTTAAAACAGCTTCAAAGAATTAGTAAGAAATTATAAAACAGCATCTGCAAAGTGCAGGAGAGTAAATCAAAGGAAAAGAGGGGGGTAACTCAGCATGGACTCCATAGGAAAGCCGACTCAACCAGTGACAATGACAGGAAAGATGGACGAGAAAAGAGAGGATGACAAGCAGCCAGAGGTCGCAGGACGACCTCAGCACATAGCACACCGAGTATGAGGTATGAGCCTTTGCTGGCTTAACTTCAGGGCTCCCAGCTGAAATAATCTCCAATGACTTTAAATAGACCAACAATAAAGAGAGAGAGGAAAAACACGCACAGGCACCATCACTCATAAGAAACCAAGCCTGAACAACTTAACAGACATTATCTTCTACATTCTATCAATACTGACTTTTTTTTTTTCAATCAATTACACTCTACAGAGCTCCTTCGCTTTGGTCAGACCTGTGCACAAACAACAGAAGCGGAAAGTCAAACCTTAATGACACACATCATGGCTCTAAACATAACAGACTATTAAATCTGACACATTCTCTCTCTCACACCTCACAAATCACACTCCAGATACCAAACATGGTCACAGACAAAGCGGCTGATGCGACTAACAGTAACAGTGTCAGCCTATGATGCATCTCCGTCTTTTTGAAGAAAGCGGCAGATACAGCGTCGCCGCAGATACGTCAATGGATGTTGGAGCGACTGCACTTTGAAAGGAGTGGGAATTTCGCAAAGATAATCAATGAAATTAAATACAAATGAATCAAAAAAAAAACTCAAATGTCTTTTTTTTTTGTTTATAATCAATCTAAAGGCTTACATATTAGCTTTAACAGATTGGTGTTCATGCATCATTGCTCTATAATCATATTCTTGAACCAACTTCTTGTCTTAAAGCTGTTCCCACCACAACCTTACAAACACTAAAATAAAAATGAAAACTATCTCAGGTGGAACCTTTTTGAGGTTCTAGCCCTTAAAACATGCTCCACATTTAAAGCAGACATTCAACACGACACTACAATCTGATATAAAACAAGAAACTGTTTTTTGTTTGGGATCAGGTGTTGAATTTTGGAGCAGACACCTTAAACCGACTGTCATCACAGGTTGCTTACGGACCACAGATTTAAGATTCAAGGAGTTAACACAAAGCAGAAAGAATGACAACAAAAAAAAACAACTCTCAATTACAGTACGCAACATTTTAAAGTGTGAAAGAGAAGTTCTGAAGAGTTGTAGCAGAGCAACGCTGAGTAAAAAAAAAAAAAAACAGCAACAAGGTTGAGGGCAGCAGTGAGTAGAGAAAGTTTGCAGTAACTCACCGTGAGCTTGTGCATGCAGAGAGAACAGTCCAAGCAATAGCAGAGGACTCCGGCTCCAGAGGCAGAGAGAGACACAGCGCTTCAGCCTTTCTCCCTGCACTGGCATGGTAGAGTCTGCCGCTCGGCTCCTCTCGGCTCCTCTATTCTTAACACAACGGGATCCACCGCTCACACTCTGCCTCTCCTTTCTGAGTGTGTGTGTGCACCAGAGAGAGAGAGAAAGAGTCGGAGAGGGAGGCGGGAGGAGGTGGTGGTGGTGGTGGGAGTATCAGGCATGCAAGCTCCTGTATGTGTGTGTTGGGGTCCACCGCAACGTGAGAAAGTCCACACCACACAAAACACACCAGCAGTGGCAGCAGCAGTTGGACTTGATTGTCCTCCAACCCGGTCTGACAGTAGCAGCCCAGCTGAGAGAGAGAGATAGAGAGAGAGGGGGAGAGAGAGAGGCAAAAAGGGGGAGTTTACTTCACTTGCCTAGTAGGGAGGGCTGACCCGCTCACATTCACTAACGCAGGGAGGGAGGACATGGGTGGAAAGAAAAACGGGGGCAGGGAGCAGACAGGAGCAAGATGGGGTTTAGAAAAAAAGTAGGAGGAGGGCGAGGAGGAGGATATTGAAAACAAGCAGCAGGATCTGTGGGATTGTGTGCTTTTAACAGCTTACAGATAGCTGCAGCCGATTCATTTTGGGCACGAATTCTGTCAACAAGGTGAGAGTGGACGTCCATTTGAGCAACACTGGGTTGAGCAGCTTGCAGATAACAGCTGGGAAACCAAGACACAGCATATATCCTATAAAAATAAATAAATAAAAAACCCTGTGCTTTCTTTACATGATTACCGTGAATCCTGATCCGTGCGTACACAGAGCCGAAATGCGGAGATCGAGCCAATATACGTTCAGCAGATGAATCAGACGCTCCTAGTAAGAGCCAACAGCGTGAGCGCTGGGTAAAACTACCGCATGCTTTCTCTCACCAGCTCAAGTGGGAAAGTAATTAAGAGAAAGGGCCTCCTTCAAGTGGACAGAGTGGATTTCAGTTGTTCATTCTGATACACAAGAAGGTTAAACTGTAGTGTGCTCAAAATGTCCTCATGGCAAAGGTTTTGAGCCCAAGGTAATGACCTTCAGTCGTCGTCTGAGAGCCGACTGGAACGGCCGTATACAAAACAATATTTAAATCAAAGTTTGTCCCGCTGATAACTCCACAGTCTGCGCGCTCTGAGCTGGGATTATCAGTCCAAGCATTTCTCTTTCTCTTGATTATGTGCAACTAAGTTTTGTTTTGGAACTTTTAAAATCGCTTACACACACAGTCCAGCCCCATACGCTACTCTAAATACCTCTTCACACAGTGCTGTGCTGTTCAGGTAGCTGGCAGAGACACTTTAAAAGGAGCTGTTAGAGATTACATCATCCAAGCCTGGAGCTTTTATACTAATAAATAAATGGGTTGAGACACTCTAATAGACCATTTCCTTTCCAGGGCTATCCTCTTGCCTGTAAGGCATTTACTGGTTGACAAAACCGCCGAGAAAAAAAACTGCAGCGTGCCGAGAACACTGCTTTTAGCAAATAGCATTACGGACGTGAAACAGCAGAAAAGGAGCGGCTATTATTTTCCTGCACAAAATGCTTAACTTTGAAGTTTGGAAGTTAAATGGATTACGCAAACACTTTTTGTTTTCATGTTAATGTGTCTCGTTTGTAGCCGCCGCTCTTCTTTGCACTTCTTTTCTTTCTCACACTTGTTCATGTTGGTCATTAATGGCAGACAATAGGCGGCTTGGCTGCCTTGTTTCTCAGCGAGAGGAGGGAAAAAAAACATAAAAATCAGTTCATAGATAAACAGCGCTGCCCTGCTCCTGCCTCATCTTCCTCTGTCTACCCTCAACCCTGCTTGTCTGAAGCCTTCTTTCCAATACAAATCTTATCAGGCAGTAACCCAGAGTCCTGTCAGTCCAAGATCCAGGATCGGTTTTCGAGGAAAGATCCCCTGATGGTTTTTTCAGCGAGATAGGTAGTGACGCAACAAGTTTTGAAATTAAAATACATGATAGTTTTAATTAGCCGCTAAGTCATTCTCTTGGTTGTTGATGCTTAACATTTTGCCAACTTTGCTAGAAGGGAACATTTTTATTGTGAAATAAAATCCCAAACTTCAGAACTCTTGGTTGTAAAATCACAACTTTGTATGCAGGAGATTTCTCTGTTTACCCACGGGACTGCGTGTCCCTTTGAACAATGAGAAAAAATAAAAACCAATCTTTGCGTAGTTTCAGCTTGCACATTTCTCTGCCCTCTTAGATCACAGGCAGTCATCTCCTTTATCATTTCTACATCTGTTCAAATTTTTTGGTTACTTGCAAACTCGGCTGCTCTCCCCCTCCACTTGTCTCTCCCTCTCCTCCACTTCTTTTCCCAACTCCCCTCCTCCAGTGAACCAGAATGTCATTTCAAGCATGTCTAACCACGGGAAGCCTTTTAAAAACTGTGACAGCATTTGCCCCCAATCCCCAATAGCTGTGAAGCTGTGCATGTGTGTGTGTGTGTGTGTGTGTGTTAGCAAGTAATGAATGTCTGTGGTGATTTGCTTAAAGACAGGATATCATATGCAGATTGAGTAATGACCCCTTGAAAAACAGTTACTTTAAAGTACTGTGAGCTGCTGCCCCATGACACAACACACACAAACACACACACACACACTGTCTACACAGTCTATTCTTCACTAGTGTCACCCTCATGCTGGTTCTATGATGAATGGCTGAAACTGTCACAAGCGAAGGATGAGCAGTAAAACCAACAGAGGAAAGAAAAAAAAAGGAAAGAAAAGGCTGCTGACAAGAAAAACAAAACGATGTCTGAAGGACTGAGATAATAAATGGAGGGTGGTGACCTTTAGGGGAGAAGTGAAGGAGTTCAGAGGTAAAAGGTGGACGGAAAGAGGTGCAGATTTAAAGAAAAAAGAGGCTAGAGGCATAAAAATGGAGGTAAAATTTCTACTGCAGGTCACAAATGTAGTTGCTGAGATATTAGAATCTGAAGCAGATGGCACTGTGTTTTTCTTTTTTCTTCGCGTGCTGCTTCTGTTTCTCATATGTTAATGGTATTCAAGCTCCCTTTACACATTCAGATGATGCGTCTCAGCCAGTGCTCGAGGTCAGTACTTTATTCAGCATTCACTCTCTCATCGTTTTTGACAGGCTGTCATAACAGAACAACTTCACATGTCAGCAGCTTTCAGTGTCGACGCTTCAAAGTAAGTCAAGTTCGCCTTCAGAATGCCGAATGCTGCCAAGAGTGTAAACACATTTACTTTCTGATCTCTGAAATTAGATACAAATGATTCATCGAACCACTTGTTAGGCTCAGTCAATGCAAGAGATTCCTCCTACGCTGCAAAGTGAAAACCGTGTATTTGAATTTTAAAACAAAGCAAAGAATGGATGAGTTGATAAAATGCATATTGATAAAACTATACCTTTAAAAAAATCTGCCGGATCATCTGGAAATACACCGCCACTGAGCTGAGGGTCGTTTTTCTTACTTACAGGAGAACTCTACTGATTTCGCACACCAAAGTCTGGGTACAGATGTTCAAGTATTTCTGCATATGTGAAAAAAAAGACAAAGCCTATTGTGTCTCTGAAAGGAGCCGCTGAAGATCTGACGAACCAGAGAACACGAGCATAAAGTGAGATTTATGGTCTGTCAATATTGCACGTCAGATGCTCTGGCAGCGTCGGAGACCCCATCCTCCCCCCTCACCTTTCTGAGGATCTGTGTTTCCCATTATCTGTAACTTTTTCATTTGTTGCTCAAACATTTTTTCATGTGTACGACTCAGACCGACGCTATCGATGTCGCCCTGGAGAGTCTGTGTGAAAATGTGGGACGTTCATTCTCACTCCGTCTCTGTCAGACACCTTCTCGCCTTCCTCAGTGGCTGTTTGGATCAAATACACAGTTTAGTTTCAACACATCCAGAGACCCAACCTGTAATCTGTGACCAACCTGTAAGCATAGGCACATTGCATTGTGGGTAATGTAGGCACCTGATTTTGACTACTAAAACGCATACATGTAATTGATTCTGATACATTTCTTTTCCTACCAGAGTCATACTGACATAAGAGCGCGATGATAAATTAATGTAGCACTAGTTTTATGGTTTCCCCAGGATGGAGACCCCACAGGACCCTTTCTTCTATCAAATTAAAGCGATATTTTACACTCAAGATGGACCAAACAACAAGCACACTTTCACACGGCTGCGTTTTTGGATATCTGCGACGTCTCATCGTGGTTCGTCCACATGGGCTCAACATTCCAAAATCCCATAAATGCACTTGGCGTACTTGTAGCTTCACATACAGACGTTTGCTATTCAAACGCACCATCTCCGCTTTGGGATTCCCATCTGTTCCAGAGGATTTATAGACCACCTTACCTCTTCCTGGCTCACGTTTAGAAGCATTTATCCCTTTATTTGATGTGCGAACTGACTAACAGACAGCGGATTAAGTCCATTTTAGAGAAACACCTCTGTGGCACAGCAGCACATCTGCTAATCCCCGTCCATTCACTTCAGCGTGTCTTTAAACTAACAAGCAGTTTACCATAATCTGTTATAAGCCTGTCCATTCACTCCTATTCACCGGTGCATTTACATAGCAATCCTTTCTGCCTGGATGCTTTGTAGAGGGGGAGAGACAATGTGTATGGGACTTGAGTTGTAGATGTGGGTGACTTGTGAGTTACAGGAATAGTATCTCTTCCTACAGTCCATTTGTACTCTCAACTTCTCTGCCTGAGGGAGGCGTTTACTGTGGACAAGAGTTGTTTTAGTGTGGTTTGGTTGTTGTTTTTGACGTGAAGCGATCTGCACGCGAACCAAAAACCCTAAAACCGTTTAGTACAGCAAAAAAAAGAAAAGTACCCAGTGGGAACTCGGAGGCAAAAGAAAGTGATGAATAAACAAAAAGGGCCATTAATAAACTGTGGAGGTGCTGATTTTCAAGTGAAGAATTCTGCTACTCTTGTCACAAACACACCCACCACAACTCATCCTCCACGATCCAGGGAACTGGTGAAGTGAAGAAGGGAAAAACAAAAAGAAAACACATAGTTTGAGAAAAAGGGGAAGCAGTGACAGATAAGAAGTCTGTCAGCATCACCTCTGACCTCAGCACTGATTTGTTCTTGATTGACCTTTAACCTCTGGAGAAAATCCCTCCGACACGCTGCAAGAGAATCCTTTTTCACAAACACGGCAAATCAGGATGAAACAAAGGAGAAAACAGGATCACTGGAAGACTTCAGTCGCTCCAGAGGATGCAAAATGACTTCCAGACTTATTTTAACGCCCAGTCTAACGGGGACGTCGACCATCACCTTCAACTAA